ATGGATAGCACTTTCTAGCACCTTTCAGCACTTACTAGCACTTTTCAGTACTTAAAAATTCAAGATGGCGGATAAGGCTGTGTGTTCAAATCCCAAATATCTTCACTATAATGACCTTCATCATGTGCTCATTGTCCCAGCAATTATCCACTAAATCTTCTTCGTCGAAATCTTCTGAACTGGAGTTTTCTATTCCAGAGCTACTCGCTCCGATATCATCTATTGTTTTTGAATACCATTGATCATTGGATTTTTTGACTTTTAGAGAATATACTGAGAACATCGTCTACATTTGTTGCTTGGACGTCATTTGCTGTATCGAGAAGTTGAAATTGTACAATTTTTCTAATATGTTAACCATATTCTTGCTCCACAAACATTAGAAATTGATCAGATTTTAAACCAAAAATATCATCTGGCAAAGTGCCAGAAGTAGAACTTGATGTAGTCACAAAAGAAATTCTACAAGAGGAAGAGAATTCCAGAAGTCAAAAGAACGAGAAGAGAAAAGGTATATCAAGCATTTTCTGAAGAACAGAACTGAAATCGATTCCCTATTTTCAAAGACATTTCTCTTAAAGTCACAAAAAAAAGATGAATACAGATTCTGTATGCAAAAAGTAATTGAAATCCAACGAGAATAAAACAAAAATTTGAAAAAAAAAAGTGATTTAGAGTAGATTCGAACCTCTGACCTTCTACCATCTTGAATATTAAGAAGCACAAACTCTCACACTTGGTTATCTTATAGCGTTCGGCACTTTTCAGCACTTTTTTCAGCACTAGTGCTGCTTTTCCCCCCTTGATTTTTGCCCTATAGTGGCCCATCAACCCCATGATATAGTTTCTTCTACAGACAGAGATTAGGCACAGTTTGCATATAGAAAGATGCAGAATTGAAAAGGCTACAGAATGAGGTATAACGTGTTCTTTCTAATCCTAATTTTCTGAGATTTAGGGGCAAAATACCCAGCGGATGGAGTAATTTTGACCTATTGTGGAATGGTGAATGAGATACGGTGTTATACACGAAATGGTAGCCGAAATGCTTATCATATAGAAAAATGTAAAATTTAACGTATTTCAAATTCAAACCCATCAGTTTCTTTTAAAAGTATGCCATCTAGCATTTACATACTGAATAGTATATGACTGTCGCGGCTTTTTATTTACGGTATCTCTCAAACTGTTGAGTCACGTTTGGCTAGTCCTTTTCCTGCTTTTTTCAAAATCTCGCGTTATCCGAAAGTACAAATTAACTTGTGCATTGAAAGCTTCACAATTTGGGTGACCAAACGAATAAGCAGCGTAGTCTAAATGATAGCGTTCAATCCGCTGAACAGTTTTATACCACCTACTGCTCTCAATTACCAGTAAACATAACTAAAAATGTTTCCCCACAATCAAAAATAACTGACCTGTTAATAAATAATAGCAATAATGAATATATATATCCGAATAGTAAATGCTGAAAATCGTTTAAACAGCAAGGAATCACAAGCCATGTGCAGTCATGCGCAAAGAAATGGTGTAAGGATTATGGTATAGATTAGCCGGCGAGATAATTCATATAAGAAGAAGGAAGAACAACTGACAAAATATAGGCTGCCTTTGTTTTCCCCAAAGCCAAAATAGATTTCTTCATAAAAATTTCGCTGTGTTTTGAAGCGTTTGTATATCACGCTCAGAAACATTTTTCGCAACAATCTCCTCAGAACCAACAGACTTGGTTGGCGCAAGGCATCTACAGTTAGTTATTCATTTTCTGGAAGAGGCTGCCACTGATAATAGTATAAAACGACGCGCACTGTGCCTGGAACATACATCGAAGTGGCTAGAATGTGTCGCAAATGCTATAACCGGCGATAAGTTTTTCCCATAATTGAGTCGTTCACTTAGGGAAAGTTCCTCCGTACGTGAAACTGTAATAATACCTACATTAACTGTCTTACTCAAACACACGGACGACGGTATGAGAACGAGAACAAGTAAAATAATTTTTGCCTTAGACCTCAACGCAACCTTCCCGGAGTTTACAAGCGATTACACTTGGCGATAGCGATATTGGCGAAAGAGGGACTTCAGCTATAGCTCCCGGCAGAATGGGTAAAAGTGTCGCAATGCCTGAGGTGATCAAAGCATTGCTGGCTGCACTTGGCGATGAAGATCAAGATGTCAGATATTCTGCAGCTGTAGCTCTCGAGGGAGTGATTGGAGGTGCGGCGCCACACTTCAGTGCTGATGCAGTTTTAAAACTGATTGACGGCCTGGCCAGCTAACTCTACCTGCGTACGTAATTCCGTGACGTTTTTCTATGATTTTGTTTTATTTGCAGAAATTTTTGAAAAAGTCAGAACTCAAAAGTAAATAAACCATTTTGTAG